ACAAGAAATTTCCAAATTACAGGATGCTTTGCATGCTATGCAAATGCAAGTAGAGGAGGCAAATGCTAGAGTAATAAAAGAACAAGAGGCTGCTTGGAAAGCTATTGAAGAAGCACCTCCAATCATTAAGGAAACTCCTGTAATAGTTCAAGACACAGAAAAGGTTGATCAGCTGACAGCTGAGGTAGAGAGTTTGAAGGTAAGAAATCTAACATGGAATAATGCTTTGCATTCTATATTGAAATTGGGATGGAACTAAAAGAACTAATTTATAATGAATCTTGATCACCACTTCATTTAGGAGTGTGTTTGAAGGTAAGATCAAATCCACAAAATGGCCATTGAATTCAGGAATATGAATATACGGGACAAGAAAAAATACTTAACTGCTTTGTGATTGCTTGTTAGGAATTTAATTCACAACATGTTCAGAGATATATTTCATGAATTACTAAATCTATTACATTCCTATCTTTGCTTTCTTTATTGGTATAAATAATTTTTGAGTGCAAGATACTGGGGCTTATGCCTTAACATATGATCAAACAATTTGACTGACAATTGGCTTAATTTAGTTAGTCAATCTTTCACTGAGCTTATAGTTGGAATCTTTATAACAATTGCAATAAAGAAAACTTTCACTTGGTTTTCAGCCAATATTCTGTATCTTAAATATAATTTGTGAGTCAAAGTAATAATTAATGAGAACTCACCCAAGAATGATCTTGTGGAGTCACCTGATACAGTGAACTTTTATACTGTACAGGCTTCACTGCTATCAGAAAGACAAACAGCAGAGGAGGCCAAGAAAGCTTGTACAGATGCTGAGGAAAGGAATGCAGAGCTGGTTAAAAAGCTTGAAGATGCAGAGAGAAGAGTGGATCAGCTTCAGGAATCTGTGCAGAGGTCCATTAACACTCATTGATGGAGAAATCTTTGCTATTTCAGTAGCACTACTCTATTCATACATAATTAACATCACAGATACACTGCTCATCCTAATAAACTTAATGCATCCATCGAACCTATCTGTCTAGTTATCATGGCAGAAATTTCTGCTTGCACTCATTCTGCTTCACTTAGATGAGCTTCATTTTTACATTATATTATGTAGATTGGAGGAGAAACTTTCCAACTCAGAATCAGAGATTCAGGTACTTCGTCAACAAGCATTGACCATCTCACCAACTGGAAAAACTTCATCCACTCGACAAAGAACAGTCTTTATTCCGGTAAATTAGGTGTTAAATACTTCATTTCAAATGGTGTAATATACCAAGAGAAATATGTCTTGAATCTGGACTTGTGTATTTGCAGAGAACACCACCAGAGAACGGAAGTGCTTTAAATGGAGAGACAAAGATTACTTCGGTATGGGAGCATCATTTGTTAGGATCAGTCCTGCCAAAAGAAAACTGCAACATTTTTGAGGAAAGAAGACATTTTATTAGGGTTTTCTTTTTTCCCTAACTACACATTATGTGTTTCAGGATATGACTCTTGCTGTAGCAAATGCTCGTGAGCCAGAATCAGAGGAAAAACCACAAAAATCTCTCAATGAAAAGCAGCAGGTAAAATGGTTATGCACATGAAATGATTTTGTGAAATGCATGCTATTGTTTTACCGGATATTCCATATTGGATTATGGATTTTTCTAACTTTGGATATACATTTTCTCTTTCTAATATATCTTTTGTACCATACTTCTGGTGGTTCAGGAGAACCAGGACTTGTTGATCAAGTGTATATCACAAAACTTGGGATTCTCTGGTGGCAAACCAGTTGCTGCCTGTGTCGTATATAAATGCCTTCTTCACTGGAGGTCATTTGAAGTTGAAAGAACTAGTGTTTTTGACCGCATTATTCAAACAATAGCTTCATCTGTTGAGGTAAGCTGCAGCTGTATGGCTTTTAAAGATTGTGTACAATTCTTCATCCAGTGAAATTCATTGATTCTCAAACCATTGCAGTTGAAGGTTACTGAAAAATGTGCTGCAAGATGGATTCTATATATATCTTTTTCTTTTCTTACCTTTTTGGGTGGAAAGCTTTTCTTTAATATAAATCACAATCCACCTAACTGAAGGTCCAGGATAATAATGATGTCTTAGCATATTGGTTATCTAATTCATCAACATTGTTGCTGCTGCTCCAACATACATTGAAAGCGAGTGGAGCTGCTAATTTGACTCCACAAAGGCGGAGAACAGCCTCACCTTCACTGTTTGGAAGGATGTCTCAAGTATGAAGCTAGTAGCTGTGTTGTTGAAATATTTATCCTGACATTTCAATATATCTTTCTTACTGTCTGTGTTTTCCTGCTTCATTACAAAAATTCTAGGGACTTCGAGGATCTCCCCAAAGTGCTGCAATCTCCCTTTTTAATGGACGTGGACTGAGCAGGCTGGAAGACTTGCGGCAAGTTGAGGCCAAGTATCCAGCATTACTGTTTAAACAGCAGCTTACTGCCTTCCTTGAGAAGATATATGGAATGATAAGAGACAACCTGAAGAAAGAGATTTCACCTTTGCTTGGATTATGTATTCAGGTTGTGCAAAGTTATTTTACCGTGCAAGCTACTTTTGCAACCCCTATTTCAAGTAAATAGACATATTATCTGTGTCTACTAATGGGTTTTTTTTTTTTGGCCATCTGAGTAGACTAATTATCCCTCTGAAACCTTCAGAGAGGATAAACTTTTAGTTTTATGTGATAAACCTACATCCCTTTGGTTATGTTCTAGGAGCTTTATTATGAAATATGAAGTTAAAGCTTTTCTTATTTCTCCCAGTGAACATATCACTTAAACCAATGAAAGCTTTTCTGGTGAAACAACTGGGGGAACTACTAGGCTGTTCAGTATATGCCAGGCAAGATAACAAAATACCATACTCGTCTGATTTGATTTCTCTTCCATACAATGCAGGCTCCCAGGACATCACGGGCAAGTTTGGTAAAAGGACGTTCCCAAGCAAATGCTGTAGCTCAGCAAGCTTTAATAGCTCATTGGCAAAGCATTGTGAAAAGCTTAAACACTTATTTGAACATAATGAAAGCAAACTATGTGAGTTATGATACTTTGCATGGTAATATGACATTGCCTTCATTCTTCTAGTAACTGAACAGTTATCTTAAATGTCCATTTTTGCAGGTACCTCCCTTCTTAGTCCGTAAGGTATTCACTCAGATATTCTCTTTCATCAATGTTCAGCTATTCAACAGGTAAACTGAGGACTCTCACAATGCCATGAGCTTGCTTAGTAGTTGATTATTTGATGAATGACAAGTTAATCGCTCCCTTATATTTTATATGGCATGTATTTTATGCATTCTGCAGTCTTCTTCTGCGGCGTGAGTGTTGCTCATTTAGTAATGGAGAGTATGTGAAAACGGGTCTGGCAGAATTAGAACAGTGGTGTTGTGAAGCAACTGAGGAAGTGAGCACTAGACAATCCCCCAGTGACTATCATGTGCTGCTGTCTTTTCTTTTTCCTTGACCCAGATTCTTGTGTAAACAGTATGCAGGTACAGCTTGGGATGAGTTGAAACATATAAGGCAGGCTGTTGGATTTCTGGTAAGTTATGTTTTTTCATTGCAGCTATTTCTACCATCATATCATGATCTCATGGTTGATTAACTGACTGATGTTTTCTTCACAACTCAGGTCATACATCAAAAGCCCAAAAAGACCTTGAATGAAATAACAAAAGAGCTTTGCCTGGTAAATTCCTCCTCTTTCAATCTCCTCAGTCAAACTTTACTTTCAGTTTCATTATTTTCTACTAATACTAAATAACCATTCACTTTACTGGCTCTTCAGGAACTCAGCATACAGCAATTATACAGGATCAGTACAATGTATTGGGATGACAAATATGGCACACATAGTGTGTCATCAGAGGTAAGTGAACTTCAAATCACTGAACAGACATTGTTAATTTGTTAGCTGTTTAGAGCGATGACCTATTTGTCTCTCCTTTTTAGAATTCGGAATTAGCACTTTCGAGATATGAGTGAAATTCATTGTCGAATGTTAAAATCATACAGGTTATTTCAAGCATGAGAGTTATGATGACTGAGGATTCAAACAATGCTGTTAGCAGCTCTTTCCTACTAGATGATGACTCAAGGTAGTTCTTTTGAAAACCCTTAAGGAAAACCCTTCAGTTTCATGTATAGCCTAATTGTATTAGTCTTAATCCAAAGGCACAATTATGATACAATTCTGAATGCGAATGCAGCATCCCATTCACAGTTGATGACATCTCCAAATCAATGCCGCAAGTAGAGATTGCTGATATTGAACCTCCACAATTAATTCGTGAAAATTCAGGTTTTGGGTTCTTACTTCCACGTTCTGAGTAATATTCATGGTCATGGATCTCCAGGATGAGTCTCATGGATGTTCTGCACTTCAACCATTGACTCACTGTGCTAGCTTTGTGCATATAGCATAATTGTCCACATCCACATGTATAATTCCTTGCAACCCAGTCACCTCATTTTTGAGGTCTGGGTCATACATCATTCTTTTCCCCTTGTTTTGGAAACAAGGGGTATATTTACATTTTAAGAAGCCATACCACCAGAAGTGTGATAAGTTGCAATTATAATAGGCTTGCCTCAAGCCCCCAATGGGTTCATCATTTTTTTTATTTGATTTTTAGTACCTTTTGGGGCAAGGTGCACCTCAAGGTATGACTGTTTTTGCATGGTTTACGGGTTTTTGCCCAATTTTGAGTGTAATTAACACATCAACTGCTTCATTTTATAGTATGCAAGGATGAGGCATTCAATTTGTATTTACTAATGTAAATTCAATTTTCTTTTGGTAAGGAAATGAATCTAACATCATGAACAATTCTTTTCTCAATGCTTTTGCTTCTTTTTTTGTCAGTATCTAGCATCCGTGTCATCCATAAGAAAAACAGTACGGTCACAAACAGAAAAATGTCAACGGGAAATTGCTTTGCTTCAGTTTTAATGCCACAGAGAACCTGCAATGGATGCCTTTGATTAAGCAACTGGTTCAATATACACAATCATCCGAGTCTTAATCTGATTCAAAAAAATTCATGAAAATTCATGGTAGTAGTGTACAACATACAATTAAACAAAAACGACTGGTTTGGTATGAAAGCCTTACTTTTACAACAACTGATGCAGCCTTTATGAGTCATGACGCTTGTGTCACAGAAGAATTGTTGATCTTCAGCAAAATTTCCATTACATTTGACATTTGATCTTGTTGAATTGTCCCTCTGGCTGCATTCCGGATTTCTTTTCTCCTTCTGAATCACCTGTCTAGGCATCACCTCTAACAGGAAGCTTCCGCCGTTCTATACAGAGGCAGAGACCTTGAGTATTTGGAAAATCACGTGTAATCTATATGACATGAAGATAGGAACTAAGAGTGCCATCGTTGCCACGGTGAATATGGCTTGGAATCCAGTGCACATCCACATGCGGTTTTGATCTCCGAGCGAACCACTTAAAAGCCACCATATATTGTTGGCCTATCTGTGCTTTCTTGGAGAGCTCCCTATGCAATCAAGAAGTCAGAAATGAAAAGAAACAGAACTGAACAGGTTGGTTTTAGGAATCAAATCAAAACACTTCTCATGAGCTCTTGCATCTGTACAACTTGAGAGTTAAAAGAGAGAACCTGTAAGAAGTCATTACTTCGGGATCTCTTAATAGCATCTGAAGACATAGGACATTGACAAAAAGAAAATAAAGAGCTTGCCAAACAGTGTAGGCAGCTAAAGGAACCACAAACAGCCAGGTGAATGGGTAGGATTTGTCACAAACACAAGGCCACGAAGCTCTTCTTGCAGTTCCCTCAGGATGCATGGCTTCAAAGGTTGCTGGATTCCACCATCAAATAGTGAAGAAAACTATTCCTGAAAAATGGACCATCACATCAGAATCTAGAATTATGGGACAACTAGAAAACAAATGCTTGAC